CTCGTCATAAATTCCCGCGCTCACGTGGAACTTCATCTCGGCGTAGTAGTCGTCGTTGTCCACGCTGAAGATCTTGTAGTCGGACAGGATGTGGAGCAGCTCCCACTCGCCCTGGTTCATGAAGACGCTCTTGTCCTCCCGGAGCTCCTCGGGGCTTCGCATCAGGGTGATGTTGATGTCGTCAACTGCAAATCGAACACAGCATCGAGAGCGGCATGAAACAGCCATGGCAACAAGTCAGCCTTCACCCGGCGCTCCGCTCAGCGAGCACATGTCACAGCAGGAGAGAGCTGATGGATGCACCCAACACAACAGAGGCTCGGCTCAGGAGCCACAAGGCTCGGCGCCGTTTTAAAGCCGGTATTGATTAGATTCAGGGTTTTTTTCTTTCCTCTTCTGTTTACTGCACTTTGAACGCAGTTAATTGATTCATTTTTAGTGCAAAATGCAACTTATGGAGGATCTTCATTTAATCTTCTGATGGAAATTCAACCGTTTTTTTATTTTGAAACAACAAATGTCTGATGAACAAACTCCGTCATACTGGTGTGCAGCCAGCTCTGGAAGGTGAGGCTGCATTTCTGGACGTCAAACGGGAAGTTGTAGATGTTCAGCGTGCAGGCCGTGACCACCTGGATGGGCTTGTAGTTGCGTACGAGTCCATCGTGAGTCACGTAGACGTACGGGATGTCCGGAGACTTGCCCACGTCCACGCTGCAGGCAGAAATGATGACAGTAATTCCATTTAGCGCAGCAGAAAGTGTGGAAATAAGAACGTCTAACAGCAGCAGCTCTTACAACTCGTTGATGAGGATGTCGGGAACCCAGACGTTAGCTGTCGGGATCGAAACCTGCTTGACTTCATCAAAGTCTTCTGGATTCCACACCAGGAACTCATCGGTCCACGACTAAAACATTCAAGAATGTTAGAAGAATAACATGTATAATAGTTTAAAAGAAAAGCAAAATATTTAACCAGAAGGAAGATTAGTGAAAAGTGCAATGACTGTAAAGACCACATAAAATAATTTAAAGGTATCAAGCAGTGCATCAAATGTCTAATTAACTGTAATGCAGGAAGACAAACTGACATGTTGTGACTTTTCCTTTCTCTTACCTGTCTGTACCACACGTATGTGGTCAAAACCTGGTTTTTCTCATCCTTTAATGAGACAAAAGGACAAATTGTAAGGAAATACTTTCGTATTTGTCGTACGAGCCAAGTTAATATTGCTGCACATGAGGACGGCTTTTATGAAATTATCAAGTTAGTCCAACGTCAGCTAACCTAAAGTGTTACAGAACAGAAAAAAAAGATTCAAAACGATGTAACACACATTAAAAGACCTACAAAAACTACCCTAACTACACTTATCCATGTATACAAAAAGCAATGTTTGAGGTCAGCAAAAAAATCATCTTTTAATCTAAGAGATAGAAGATTAAGATAGAAGACCTACAATCCTGAACTCAAGACAAATTAAGTTATTAATTCAATTTCATCAAATTACCTCGACTTGAATGCAGTTTTCTCTCAACTGGTGCAGAAATGTGAGTTGAAATTCCACTAAAATGTCAACCATCAAAACAATGCTCACACCTCCACAGCTTTACCTGAATCAGTAAAACAGAACCTCAGTCCTGAACTCACCACACTGAGGATGGAGTAAACCATGAGGTCTATGGCCACGATGGTGGACGTCCTCCAGTCCTTCACCGGCCTCACACCTTTCTTGTAACCGCCGCTCAGAAAGTCAGAGAGTCGCACTAAGGTGGCGTTGGCAAACCTCCCGGTGCTGCCGCCGGCCTTCTTCGCTGGAAAACATCATCATCTTAATAATAGACAGAACTGTGTTTATCTTAATTAAATGTGATAAAAGGAAAATCTGTGAACAATATTTGAATGTATTTATGAGTGATGAAGCTCAGAGCACACATCATTTATAGATTCTCCTAATTCAAATAAACAGTTTCTCATGTTTGACAGAAATCAAAAAAAGCTGAACGCATCTCAGACATACACAGCAGGTAAAGAAATCTGATAAATATATATAAAATAAATTCTGTTTCTGCTCATCTTTTCTTTTCTTTTCTTTTTTAGTGGCAATTGTGGAAGTAACTTTCCAACATGATTCAAAATAAAATGTTTTAAAGGTTTTCTTTTTTAAATGTATTTTATTTTATGAAAACCAGCAGTTTCCTGCTTTTTTTTAAGCAACATTACTTTAAATACTGTGAGCTGTAATATTTTAAATAACAGCTTAAATTCCCATAAAATACTTCTATATTTTAATTTTTTTTTCTTTTTCAGCACAACAATGTTAAAGTTTCATAATCTTCAATACAATTCACTAAATAACAACTTTTAACACCTAATAATGGACAACAAAATCACACACTTTATATTTTTATGCACTTTGTGTATTTTTGGTCTCATTTGTTCAGAACTGTGAGCTGTAGTATTTCTTCATTGCTTTAGTTTAGTTTTAATTCCAAATAGGTTTTAACGTACTAGGACTGGTTTTAGTACAAAACAGTAAATACTAAAATGTAGATTTTAAAAAATGAAATCAGTAGCAGCAAATACAAAAACAGGAAAAAAATCAAAATATTTCCATTATTTTCTGACTAACATCCTCACAGATTCTACAAGTTTATATTAGTATTGACTTTTTAACACAGTGTTGCATTTATAGTAAGTTTATCAGCAGAAGGACATGTAAATAAATCTCCCAAACTGTACAAAAATAAATGTAAAAGTCCAATTAAGATGTGTTGCATGGACTAAAACATGCCATTTTCTGCAGATCTTTGTTGAATCTAAAACTCCAGATTCATCAGAGTGAACGAACTCTGTGCTGCCAGAAGCTCAGCGTATAAACCAACATCTAAGTGCATGTGCTGGAGTGTGAATCAGAAGTACCTGTGCAGGCTCTTGCCGCTCCGTGGAGCAGGAGGAACGCCAGCGCCGTCCAGGCCGCCGAGAGTCTCATGGTGTCAGTTCACCTGTGTTTTCTCCTGCCGCTCTGATGAAAGGCCTCGGGACGCCTGACAGCCGCCTCCTCCATCTCCGTCCACTATATGCATGGCTTCACCCGCATCCACCATCACAACCTTGTTAGTGTCGCTGTGCTCAGGAGGGTGTATCCGTCGGCTCTGACGCCACTCCTGCTCCTCCACACAGCGAGGCTGAGACGCTGCTCAGATGTAAGTCACAGCTCTGAGACTGGATGGTGGGTTACACTGGAGGAGTCATCTAATGAAGAAATACTGAGACACCAGTGTGTTATGTAGAGATGATCAATTAGGAATGTTTACCTACAGATAGGAAGGTGTCAGCATTTTCAGTTCAAGGGCATTTTGTTTATTATTTGTCGCTTTTAGCTTCTGAAATCGGTTAAAGTCCTGATCAGAGGACACCACTGTCGGGGTTTCCAGCCACACTTATGAGTGAGTTTGAGCTGATTTATTCAGAAAATCTCTCTAAGATAAAGATACTGTGGTCCACTTGATCCTCACACACATTCACATTGCTTATAACTAAAACAAAAGACGCACAGAGAATAATTAACAGTTTTGTCTGCAGCTGTCAGAAGCACCAAACTCCAAAAACAACCTTTAGATTTGCTTTAGTTTGAACACATCTGTGCACCATCAGTATTCTCTACTCACTGTGCAATATGGATCAAATCTGTGCAGCATCAGTATTTATTATCTCAATACTTCTACTCATTAGATTAGATTAGATTAAACTTTATTGTCATTACACATGTACAAGTACAAAGCAGCGAAATGCATGGTTTAATATGCACAATATCATTGTATTGTTTAATATATAGATGAATAATTTATGTGAAATTTCAATATTTTCCACATCCACATGAATCTGTGCAGTATCAACAGTTCTTACGTGTATTTTTCTGTTTAAAACAATTCTCTGCTCATGATTCCTACACATTTGCAGCGTCCCCTTTGCTGCTGTAACACTGAAAACGTCCCTACTACTGGATCAATAAACGCTTATTTTATCTTATCGTGTGTAATCCTCAGGCTCAGTAAATTAACCGTCTGTTCCCCAAAACCTCCCCAGCAAGTGTGAAAGGTTTTCTTTAAATAAATCGCCCCAAAAATACTTTATCAGAGCCAAAAAATGCAAAAAAAAAACCACAGAATATCACAATTTTTGCAGGTTCTTTGGCCGTCACGTCAGGAAAATGAACAAAATCTAAGCTTAAGTCATCATATTTCATCAAAATCACCTTATTCTACATGTCTCAGTTTAAAAATATGCCAAAAATAAACCATTTGCAAGTTTTCAGGTGATCTTCAGACTGTTTTGACACAGAACAAATCATAAGAACACACAGTAAAATATATGTAATAAACAGAGTCGTCATTGTTTTCCAGTGTTGGTAAAACGTGGCTACATTCAGAAAAATATTTCACATTTTGTTTCCAGATTTTTTTCCCCTAAATTTTGTCTTTTTTTTATGGTTTATGGTATTTTATCTGTGTCCTACTGCACAGACCACATTTCTGAGTTCTCTCTCCTTCCGGTCTGGTTGTTCTGGTTCCATCGAGGTGCAGGACTTGAAAAACTGAGCCCACAATGTGCAAAAAGAAAAAGATGTGACAGGAGCAAAAAAAAAAAAGCCACCCAGAGACAGCCCAGAGTTCAGAGGTTCAAAGCCTCGCGGAGCCGAAACACGACTCGAGCTTCGCTGGTGTTACATTTCCTACAGACGGATTCGGTGGCCTAGTTTCTCACTTGTCCGCGCTTTAATAACTAATGAACATGAGCTCTGCAGCCTTCGGGGCCTTGTTGCCGTCTTGTCTAAATGGATGCACAGCACGTCTGTAATTCCACAAAGGCGTCCCCGCGGTTGGTTCGACTCAAAGAGGCTTTTGTTGTCACTTCTGTCGCGTGTTATATTCACAAAACAATTCGTCCTGTGGCTATTAAAAAAAAACACACAATAGATGCAATCGTCTTGAGATGACGTTCAGAGTGAAGCAGCAGTGAAACGTTCATCTGCAGCCGTGTTGCGTAACATCATGTAACCAGATCTACTGCCAGAAGAACGAGAAGGTTGCAGATGCCGTCACAATTGCATTAATATGGATCGTTCCACCGGCAAATTTTTAACGTGATGCACTTTTGATATTCTTATCACGACTATTAGGGGGAGCCGACAGGGAATAGAGACGCAGCAGCCGAGCTCTGGATGCTGTGTGTGTTTTTTTTTCTTCTGCTGATCTATTTTGTGGCGGTGGGGTGGAGATTAAAGCGTGAATACAATATCATAACATCATAGTGGCAGTGAGGATGTTCTCCAGAGAGCTGCTTTATTATGCAGCATCACTGAGTAAACCTTTGCTGTCGGGAAACATAATAACTCGCTGGATACGATTATGTCTTTGTCAGACCGATGATGTTCCTGTGCAGCATCGAGGGCAGGTTGAGCCAATGCACTCTGCTTTCAGGCCACTGGGACTTTACTTTTGTTCATTTGATAATCATTTGTATTGGGAAAAACTAATTTCTAGACATTTGTCACAGTTTAAATACCACAAATACGACTTTTCATCTTGTCATTGTTGTGTGTGCTCAGATATTCACATGAACCAGCAGATACCAACAGTTCAGGATTCTTTATTTTCACTTTTACTTTAAAGTAAAATGATGCTCAGTCTTTCTGGTGCAAACTAAATCATCATAACTCACAAAAACAAAAGCTAAAACTACCAAATAAAAGTCACATTGCAATAAATCAGCGTCATCCTCTAACAGCATACAAACAACGCACATTATAATCTGTTCAGTTCTTATAAAAGCATCTCGGAGAGGAATCACATACAACGACTTCCTAAATCATGTTTTATATTTGCCTCCTCACAGGTATCAGAGAGGGAGGCTCTGTTGAAACCTTCAAACAGCACTTAAAAACATTTTTATTCTGGTCTTCTTTTTGTACAGTAAACTATAATATATGTGATGTTATTTCATTTTTATGTGTTGACCTTTTAAAGTGATTTGCATTTAGTGTTTTAGCTGCGTGTGTTGCACACAAAGTGGCCGTAATGTTAATAATAATGCTGATAATAGTAATAATATTAATCATTAGTAATAATAATCTTTTATAATAAATATACCTAAATTTTAAATTACGCTGGTTCCAAGTGTTCTGCTGTAACATCGCGACAAGCACACAACAACTGACTTTAGAAAACTTCCAAAGAGATTATTTTTAACCAACACTCTGCATTGAGTTAGGAAAATGATTTTTAACTGACAGTCTTCATTTGTCTGAAATTGTCCCGACACGTTAAGATGAAGGAGGAGATCTGAAATTTTAAAGTGATAAAAATGTACTTATCAAGCCATTGTCATAAATTACCTCAACTTGAATTTACTTTTAAATCAACGAATGCAGAAATTTGAATTTAAATTACACACAGTTTTAAGTTGATGCAACGTTATTATGTCAATGCACTCCACAGAAATAGTGTTTATTAGATTTTCATATCATATCTGCCATCAAGCATTTTTTTTAAGCTGACTTATTTCTCAGCTGCAAGGTGGCTCGGTGGTTAGCACTGTGGCCTCGCAGCTACAAGGTCACCGGTTTGCGATCTTTCTGCGTGGAGTCTCCATGTTCTCCCCGTGCAGAGTGGGTTCTCTCCGGGTTCTTCCTCCCACAGTCCAGAAACATGCTGAGGTTAATTGGTGATTCTAAATAGTCCGTAGGTGTGAATGTGAGTGTGCTTGGTTGTCTGTCTCTAAGTGTAGCCCTGTGATAGACTGGTTACCTGTCCAGGTGAACCTGCCTTCACCCTGAGTCAGCTGGGATAGACTCCAGCCCCCCATGACCCTGGTGAGGATTAAGCGGTGTATAGATGATGGATGGATGGATTTCTCAGCTGTTTTCTGATTCAGAGGAGCAACAAAGTAGGAAAGTAACGTCCACACCAATATTTGGAGCTTTTAATGGGGTCTGAAATAAAACCATAAAACCAATATATGAAGGCAACAGAGGCGCTTCTGTATGACCATGACTTTAGGTACAAACCCTCAGAGCAGTTAGCGAACACCAGCTAGCAGCTTGTCTACAGCTAAGTACCATGTTTCACTCTATTGGCAACAAATAAATACAAATCAACACTAAAAAATTAGTAAAAAACATCATTTCTAATCTAATGAGCTACTTCCAACCTGCTGGTTTCAGCTTTATTTGCTATATTTCTAGTTTCAATGCCGTGAAACTTCATTTATTCTAACTGCTAGTTTAACTAATGAGTAGTTCTGTTTTATACACGAAGGCTTTAAAGAACTACATTGAGAATCGCTGTAACGTAAGCAAGATGTGCTTTGCAGCATTCAGACATCTGTGGCAGTGCGGGTCAGTTGAAGCTCCAGCTGGCCCAGAGCAGCAGCAGGGTACCAGCGTACACGGCCAGCACCAGCAGGTAAAGGCGGAACAGCAGGCGGTCGAGCTTGGAGCAGAGGGCCAGCCACTCAGCCTGAGCCGCAGACTCGCCGTCTTCCTGGGACAAAGCCTGGCGGAGGGAAGCCAGCTCTCCGAGGAGCCACTCCAGTCCAGAGGGAGCGTCCTGGAGCTCGTTCAGGGACAGCAGATCCTCCTCCGGTGAGTGTTCGAGCTCGTAATCTGTGAGAAGACCAAGAAAATCTGGTTTGAAGATTCACGCTGTTCTCTGAATAAATGTGAACAATCAAAGCTGATCAGCAGGGATGGGACAACTCTCTAATTGCATATTAGTGGTAGTTTTAAAAAGAAACCCTCCGTTTTTAGAGCTCAAACAGGATGCAAAACGTGCTTTGGCTTGTTTTTATCCGAGCGTTCATTCACTCAGATCGTTGACTTGAAGCCCACCTGCAGACGGGTGGATGTGGTCGAGGGTTTTGATGGAGGTTAAGACGCTCTCGGTGAAGCCGTGGCCAGCTGAGCCGTACTTGTCCAGCAGGCAGGCCGACACTGACATCTGCTTGACCTCCTTCTCGCTGTGGTGGAGCAGCTTCACCACTAGTATGGACTTGGTCAGGCTGAGCATCAGCAGGGCCATGCACACGGCGAAGAACACGCCTGAGAAGTCAGACAACACCGCCTAGTTACACAAAAACAAGAACTGTATCCAATAGGGATGTCCGATATTGTTTTTTTTTTTTTTTGCCAATATCCAAAATGCCGATATCGTCCAACTCTCTACTTCTGATTCCGATATCAACTGATACCGATGTATGTTTATTGCTGCAGCCCACTTGTTCACACGCTTCACGATGCAGTTTGATGTCAAAATCCAGGTATTATTCTATCGGTTGTCATTATAGGCAAAGAAAACCGATAATGATATTGACAGATATTACATTTTTATGCTAACATCCAATAATGAGTGGCAGGCCGGATCATCCAGTCAGCTATGTGGAGCTACCAGCATCGCGCCACGCCGTCAGACAGAGAGTAATTAACCTGAAACCTGCTCTTGTTAACATGTTTTAACCTTATAAAGCCAAATGTTTACATGCAAACCATGCACTTCATTCTCTTTTTTACATATGCTTGGAATGAAAAACACAGTAACATGCAAACAGATGATATTTTCCATGTGAGCACAGCCTGAGGCGCAGCAAGGTCGTAGCCTCGGGAGCATCAGTGGTGCATCTTTAACACATAATGCACAGCAGCTGGATTAAATGTGATCATTTAGTGAAGACAATTCAATTTTGTTCATAAATGCCATGTGAACACAACACTGATGGACAAAACGAAGAGCATCAAATCCGAGGAGAGGCTACCGATGAGCGGAGTCCTGACGGCGGTGACAGGAAGCTCGTCCGTCAGGTTGACTCTGAAGACGGTGTAGCCCAGCAGGATGCTGATCTTGAAGGCGATGCGCGTGCCGCTGTTCAGAGGCAGGTAGAAGCTGATCACATCCACCAGCATGAGGAAGATGCTGGGGATGAGGAGACCCACCACATACAGCAGGGGGCGCCGGCGGATCAACACCTGAGTGAGAGATCAGGACAAGTCAGCTGGGATGTGAGAAGTAATATCATTCATTCAGGTTGGCCCGGCTGAGTGGAGGGATCATCCGTCCAGGCTGTTTGGTTGTTTTTGTGGCACTTCGCTCCAGAAGTATTGCCAATGTGACTCTGATAATCCACAAAACACACGATTCTATCTAATGGCTTTAAAAAAAAGATCTCTTGTTTAGTGGACACTGCGCTCAAACAAACACACAACTTCTAACAAAAACCTACACACGCCATTAAAAATGTAGAGGCAGCAACAGGATGAAAAATGGAACCTCGAGCAGTTTCTGTTTATCTATTTATATATTTTTCACGCCTGGCACGTTTAAACTTAAAGTCCTGCACCTTTTACAGAAACAGCACAACCATGATTAGAAGTAGAAAAACTTGAAGATCTCTTTTGTGCAGTACGACAAAATAATAATGCCATGAAACATTTTTTTTAAAAAGAAAAAAAATTGGTTTTCCTTAATTATTTATTTTACCAAAAAAAAGGAGAAAACTCTGTATCCAGCATGTGCAACAGTTTACTAAGTGCCCACATGTGGTACCAATACCAGAAGTAAACAATGAATCTATACGCTACAGATATTTGACTTTTTTGATTTGTGTCAATATTAAATACTAACATACATAAACACATCCTGCAGTTCAACCCAGCTCAGCCTGAAAGTCTTTGAATTTTTGCCATGTGACTGATGGTCACAGCTGAGTCACTCATGGCTGTACAGTTGCACCAAGACGTGCAAAATTTTTTGGTTTTTATAGAATCTGGTTAGTACAAACTACTGATTTTTAATCGATTATTTAATTGATAAAATCAGGTTTTTTAGCTTAAATTGTTGGATGTTGGATCTGTGCACCACAGATGAGTAGTTCAATGACCCGAAAGTTTATGATTCTGCCTGTTTTTGCAGCTTCTTGCCCTGATTAATAGTATAATTTGTTTATTTTTTAAAACATAGCACGTCTTTGGAGGGGTTCAGAGGGTTAAATGTGTTGGGTAGAAAACAACTCCAAGCAAACGTCCTTAAAGAATGATCACAACTAAAAGTGCGGGGCCAATGTCAGAGCCGATATCCAAGATGAAACAAGGAGAAAGGAAGACGGCCCCCCAGGATGAACTGCTGAGAGATCGCCTCAGGCAGCAAAAGAAAGAAAGGACGAGGAAATATCACAGGAGCAGCGTCTGATCTGCAGATGAAGGAGGCGACATCCTACCGGTGGCTAGAAAAAGGCCGATCTGAAGGACGGAGCCGAGGCTGTGATCACGGCAGCACGAGAACAGGCCCTGAGCTCCAGAGGCAGGAACCCACAACAAAGAGATGCTCCAGAGACGGACCAGCTCACAGCGGCGGGGAGTCGGACGCAAGCTGGGACGGATGCAGGCCGGGATAGCACGCGGGAACATCTGCGCCGATTAGGAGTTTAGAAGTGGCCGAGTCCCAAGTGGATGAGAAGAGTCGAGCCGAGATCCTGTGGGACTGACGAGCAGCTGCCGGCTAAGCAGCCAGACACGGCGGAGCTAACGAGGAGCAGGTAGTGACGGATGAGGCTGCTGAAGAAGAAGAAGGAGCTTGAGAAGATGAAGGGCTGAAACAGCAACAGGATCAGAGCCAAGAAGTCTGAAGCAGGGTTTGAGGTGACTTCTGGTTTAGCTCTGGATGGTGGCTCACGTCTTACTGGGATGCATCGCCATGGTAACTTAAGCTGAACTCCTGAGAAAAATGGCATCCCCAGTCCTGGAAGAGCTCCGTAGAGGGTCTCTGAGGAGGGCAACAGATCTGCTTAGAGCTGCTATTGCAAAGCCACTTGGTTGTTTTAAAGACATTTATCCTAAAACCTAAAACTCAGACGGACAAAACACCAAAGTCTTCTAGACTGTATAAGATTTGCTTTAAGACTCTTCATTGTTTTTTATATTTGATTTTTATTTGTTCCAAGAAGAAAAAAATCAAAATACTGGAGATCACTGAGTTCATCCTTCGCACCGCTACGAGGACAGTTTGATTTTTATTACTTGGTTATTGATTCTCTTCAGTTTCAGAGTTTCATGATGATAATCTAACTGAAAGCTGAATAACAAACCGTTATACATAATTAGTGTATTAACCCACATTTGTACTTTATTTGTCAGCTTTCCGTCTTGGATTTGGCTGCAGCAGCACAACTGGACAGCTCTTTGCCCGTATTATAGCTTCATACTGCTCATATGGGCTTATTATTATTATAATATGTTGTTCTTGTGAGAAATATCCAGCTCCATGTTTGGTGATCTGATCAGTTTTACGTGAACAAACTCATACCCAGACTCAGAAACCGTGGGTTGACTTACTGAGCTGTTTGTGTAAACGAGCTGTTCGGTTTAGTTAAGCTCGATAACAAAAGAAAACCTGACTATGCTGAACTTCTAGTGCAACAAAGAACCCTTAAACTCCCAGACAGCAGAAAAAAAACCACATTTTTTTTCCTGTGGCACCAACCTAAAATATATTTCACCTGTAATTGGTGATCGCTTTCTGTCCACCAACCAATTAATGGAATCTAATTAATGTGCACCAACAACTTGTGAACCGGATTAAAAATCAAGATAAACTGTGCAGCTTGGAAAGGACGCGACTATAATTCAAACACCGGGTGTATGTGTGTAGGTCTTGTTAAAGAAGACATCATTGCTCATGGGTAAATTTCACGTCAGAATGTTTACGGGCCGCCGGCTGATTAGCAGCACGTCTCGCGTTACAGTATCGGTGATGGAGTGCTAATAACAGTCATATTCAGTCCAATTGTTTCCAATTATAGATAACCACACACAGCCTGACAACCTCCAATAAATCCTAGTATCTCTGTCGCGGTGCTCGCGTCCCAGACCCTCTGCGGTGGTGATTAATGAAAGTCTGATCCTGTCGGAGAGCGTCGGCGTGTTCCCTCTGACTGAGGAGGATTCGGCCGACGCGCTGCTTCAACAAATAACGCAAGTAAGATTCACCGCAAAGGACCAGAAACCATCCGGGTCATTCCTATGAAAGCATCAGATTTATAGAACAATTTCTGCTCCACCATCTCACCTGTAGTATAAAATATGGATATGTTTTAAAGATCCATCCATCCATTATCTATACACCGCTTAATCCTCACTAGGGTCATGGGGGGCTGGAGCCTATCCCAGCTGACTCAGGGTGAAGGCAGGTCCACCTGGACAGATAACCAGTCTATCACAGGGCTACACTTAGAGACAGACAACCAAGCACACTCACATTCACACCTACGAACAATTTAGAATCCCCAATTAACCTCAACATGTTTCTGGACTGTGGGAGGAAGCCGGAGAACCCAGAGAGAACCCACGCTGCACGGGGAGAACATGGAGACTCCACACAGAAAGATTCTGGTGCCCCACCGGGACGAGAAACCGGCGACCTTCTAGCTGCGAGGCCACAGTGCTAACCACTGAGCCACCTTGCAGCTCTTTTAAAGATATTTGAGAAATTTTAGCACATTTTTTTTTTTCCACACATTGAAACTTGAGTCCATGTTTGAACGACAACATCTCACAAACTGTTCAAGATTAAAACCTGAAATTTTCACTGTTGTTTCTCATCATGTCATTGAATCAGAATCTGAAATATTAGAAAAATACATCGAATAATTTTTGATTAAGTTGAATTTTTTTTTTTTAAGATATTTTTTGGGCCCACCCCGCCCGCCGAGCTATCCGGGCGCCCAGATTAAGTTGAAATTTGACCCCCCAAAAAAGTAAACCCTCAGGAAAATCTGCCTTTTTGAGCACACCTTCACAAAAGAAAGTTGATAATGCAGAAGCCAAATTGTGATGTTCTCCTGAACCATTTGTGTGCATTCTGAATCAATGACATGACGAAAAATAGCACTGAAAACGTCAGGATTTTATCTTTAATAGTTTCTGAGATGTTGTCGTTCAAACAGTGGGAGGAAAAAAAAAAAAAAACTGATGACGTCGGGTCAATCAGGCAATTATCTTGGAAAACACTTGATATATCAGTAAATATCTAAAGTCTATGATAAGAAACAAACCAGAGGTGGTTGAGCAGAAGGCCCCGGGATGACTTTAGATGGAATAACTTCCTACACAGAGCTGAAGTCCTGACGATCATTTCCATCTACCTGCTTCTGCAGAGAACCAAAACTCTACCAACTAAAGCACTAATTACATTTCGTTGGCATTCAAAGCAAACACTAGATTCAGCTTCTTATCCATGATATCCGCCACACTAAACTCTCTCGGAGCCACTTTCCAACATTTTAGCTTTGATATCTGCTGTTTAGGGAAAAAAAAAAGTCAATTTTGTCTGTTTTGTTTGTCGCTTTTAACTCAGCTGGTTTCACTTCGTCAAGCTGTTTCGCAAAAGCGTTTCGCGAACACTAATCACACGCAGACCGCAGACGTTGCCAGCATCCCTCTTCACGACTTAGTGTCACTCACGCTTTTCTACATTTGTCTGCCGTGCACGAATCGTACCGTCGAGCTAAAAGCGCCCAAAATTAACACGAGAGGATTTGAGCTTTGTTGCAAATTGCTGCTCGCAAGTTGCACAGTTTTATGAAATGGACCCAACAGGGAACAATACGTGACAGAAAAGCCAAAAAAAATAAAGTTAAAGAAGCAGCGAATTATGTTAGTAGAATAGCATGAACATGTGCTTCTTTTTTTTTTTTACTCGAGGGGCAGAATGAAGACTGGTTTCAAGAAAAGCTCTCTGCAGGCTTTAAGGTATTTTTTGCAGGTAATTTACTGGCGCCTGTTCGTGTGGATTTGTTTGGGCTGAGCCATAAAAACGTCTCCCGGCCGTATACTGTAGCTCCGTCATCCTTTCTTCAGCCTCTTTCTCCTGTTTGTTAAAATCAACAGAAGCATTTTTTTGTTGTCGGTATTTTTTCTCCCATATGACATATCTATGCTCTGCAACAAAACTGCCGCGGCGCAACAATGTCCCAGCCAGCCATGAAATGCCTCCATCTCCAAAAAGGCTCTTTGCTCTTTGGGCTGAATAAATAGCAGCCCTCCCTGCTCTCCACCTGCGATGGGCTATGGGGCCATTTTGCTCGCCGCTAACAAGAAGTCCATTGATCAGGCAACCACTGAGACAGTCTCATTATGGCTGCTCAGCCTCCCCTGTCTATCAGCTTCCCTCTCTATCCGTCTCTCTGCTCGCCAGAAAACAGCCGCAGCCTCATCATTCGGCATTAGCTCTCCGGTTCAATCCATGAAGGTCGCAGCCAATTGCTTTGCACTTTACAATTCCAGTGCACAGCTTGACGGGGAGGAGAGGCAACCCGCAGCTTAAAGCTCGGCATCGACCAGCGATCCCAGTGCAGCTACTGGCTCGCTCATCGCGGAGCTGCAATATGAAACCATTCCATCCCAGTAATGTTAGAATAAGATTGAAAATAGGATCAATAATTATAACAACTTTATTTATATAGCTCCTTTAAAAAACTGCAACACAAACAGAAGGATACTCAAGAAGAACGAAACAAAAGGAGGAAGACAAGGCAGGAATAAAGGTGAAAATGGTGAAAGACTTTCAAAATGAATCAATGCAGCAACACCAGATAGAATCACATCCAAGTAAAGAGAAAGAAGAGGCGGGAAAACGGAAAATGGAGGGAAAACCATGAACACAATATTAGTTATAATAATAGTAAAATAAATAAAATAAAGGTGTAAATTAGTGAATAATAAAGGGTGAAAGAGAATAAAATGAACAATAAAATAAATAACATTTGAAAATCAATCAATGGATAAAGATTTTAAACATTAATCAATACAAGATAAAACACTAAAAAAACAAAAATATCATATCCGAGTAGGGAAAAGGAAGAAAAAAAGGAAAGAAAACAAAATTGAGACTAAAAACATAAACATAAGACAAAAAAGTAAATAAATAAAGTAAATAAATAACAGGTAACAGACATTAAAATTTACAACAAAATAAATACAATGGAAAAATTTAGAGTTAAACATGGGGAAATTTTTTAAAAATTAAATCAATACGACATCATCAGATAAAATACTAACAGAACCAAAAATACCAGATCCGAGTCAGGAAAAAGAAGAAGCAGGAAAAAAATAAAATAAATAAAAATAATTTGAGGGTAAAACCATAAACATAACAGTAAAAATAATGGTAAATAAATAAATAAAAGGCAAAAGACAATAAAATGAACAATAAATGATAAAAATGTAAAAACACACAAAACTAAAAATAATAATAATAGCAAATAAATAAAATAAAATGTAAATGAGTAAAAGAAAATTAACTATAAAATAAAAAATATAAAAAATCTATTATAAGATAAAAATAGATGACGTCACATAAAAACAAGCCTATAAGAAGTGATTTAAAGTAAGTATTTATTCAGTCATTCATTAGAACCTCCTTTTCCCTTTCTTTACATTAAGTCCTGTATTTGAATCCCCCCTCCCTGAGACCAGTGTGATGTGTGTTGGAGGCACATACGTTGAACTGGATGTGGGCGTAGTCGGTGTCGTCCTGCCGGATCTGCCAGTACTGAGAAGGAATCGACAGCAGCTCCCATTCTCCGTCGTTCATGAACTCCCTCTTATCGCTGGCGATGGCCTCGGCGCTCCTCCACAGAGCCAGGTCGATTTCTTTCACTGCGCACGGACACATAACAAAGAATAAAAGATGGCAGTAAGACGGAAAAACATGGATTTCCACCAGATAGTTCAGTTTTGTATTTCAGATATACAAGCAGCGTGAACTGGGATCTTCTCAACAGTCTCAACTGAAGGTTTATCAACAAATTTGAGAGATTTAAGCTCCTTAGCGCAACATAAAGATGTCGTTTTTACAAATTTGGCCAACAATGACAGGATTAGATTTGTTCGAGGGTTAGGAGCTTCATACAGATGTCTTGTAGAGGGTGTGTGGTGATTTGCATCATGCTGTTATGAAGCAGGTTCATGTTGTTCACAGAGGAATCAAAAAGGACCTTTTATGGACCAACTGATTCTCAGGTTGGGCTTTAAATCAAAAACTGAACAAGCACAGTTGGTTCATTTAATCCCAAATCATCAGGTTCTTTCTGCTCTACTGTCTTTGATTAGCTTGAAATTTTTGTGTCATAAACTATGAATATTTAAAATCGTATTTGTAAAATTCCAGCTTGATTAATGAAGTGCTGTCTGAGATATTTCTTTTTTTCTTAATTGCACTTTCAGCACGTTTGAAGCAGAGTAAAATTGGAGGCTGTTAATTCTCATTATGCAGTTGATTCAGAATCTTAATTATTGATAATTCCCAAAGAAATCACACAGAGCTGCACGGAGAGGATTTAAATGTAAAGACCTGCCGCTGTTGCTTGTCTTGTGTCGTGCTAAATTTAAAACATTTGGAGTTTGAACTGTTGGATTGAGGAAAAAAAAAACTATCAGGAGTCATGCTGACCTCCTTATAAAACCATCTTCATTCAGTCTCGTTTACAAGGTTCTTGTTGATACCATCATAGCCCTTAGACTGACCCAGCAGAGATCTGAAAGTGTTGAACTATTTGTAAGAAGTGTTGATTTGCTAAACTTTGGATACGATCCAGACGCATACTAGAGTCTGACTGGATGATCTGTTCATTTAGCAGCGTCCATCCTGCACTAAGCGTGACCCAAACCCATGAAAACTGAACAAACTACTGATCAAGACGGTTTGAAGCTCCAGAAAAACAAAGCCTGTAAATGCAACTAAGATCAAGAAGGTACACTCCATTAGTTGGAATCACTCGGACCAAAATCCTCCCCTGAAGCCTCCGACAGGATCAAACTTTTAAACGCTGACTCTCCTGAGCTCACGAGTTTCTCCAACGCACCCGAATGAAGCCAGCTGCGGAAGGTGAGGCTGCAGTTCTGCTTGTCGAACGGGAAGGCGTACATCTCCAGGCTGCAGGCCAGCACCGCCTGGATGGGCCGGTAGTTCTTCACCGAGCCGGACGAGTTGACGTAAACGTAAGGGATCGGGGGGGATTTTCCTTCTTCCACGCTGCACACGAAGGACGGAGGGGAGGAGGTAAGGTGACAGGTGAAAAACAACAGTCCAAAGCAGCAGTGCTCGAGTTTATTATAGTGAACTGATGCTGCAACATAAAACCACGTATATGTAGCAGAGAAACAGCAGGAGGATGATGACAGGAATTAGCTTCTGCTTGTATTTCCTGTTTATCAGCAATGAAGTATTTCTTAATATTTTTCACTGCAATCACCAATTTTCTATTACAATCGTGTTGTTTTGTTTTAGTGTAAGCTTGTGTTATTTTCTGAGAAGAATTAAAGGTAAAGTCAAAATGTCCAGCTGCACAAATCTACAAACTCTGATATATATTCATTTTAAGATTGTAGGGAATAAGGACCTGTTTTGTACTTGTGTTCTCACCTTGAGAAACCTCATCAGTCATGGCTTTACAGCGTTTAACCAACATTTATTAACGATTAACCGGCTAGTGATGCCAAAAACGAAGCGATCTGGCTTCAAATGCCTCGAAAACTCATCTAGTTTGAGCCATAAAAGAAAAACTTACATTAGTTCTGTGTGTTTAAAGAGTTTTTTTGTGTTATAAAACGTGTCCCAACACACTGTTCCTGCAGAGGCCATGTTTTCCAGCTAACTTTCATCTTAATCTCCCTTATATATTGACCCATTTTTCTACCACCAATTATCCAAGTCAGTCGTCTGTTCGGCTCATTTTATTGAGGATAAGTTGGATGATTTGGAACAGACTGCTGTCATACGCCGTCTTCTCATTCTGCTCATAACTACGTATCATCAGGACTGGAAGGTCAACGTCTTCCCAAAGGGCAGGACATTGATGTTATTAATACTGAAGGACACGAGACTCTTTCTGGTAATTTCTTACAATTCGCTCACGATAACGTCAGGAATCCAGATGGCGTCCGACGACAGCGAGATCTCGTTGATTCCGTCGAACTCGTCCGGGTCCCAAACCAGGAACTCATCCGTCCAGACCTGGAAGCAGCAGAGGAGGTATGTGCCAGTACAACACTATTTATCTAAGTATGTCACATAAAGATTTAAACTGAGCTGTGTTTATAATCTACTGTGAGATATTTTCTAAATGACTTTCCACTTTAACACCCTGAGTTTTGTAGAAGTTGTTAAAAGTTGACATGCAGTTGAAATCAGAGGGCTTCCATATTTGGAACTCTTTAATTATAAAAATTTGGATTTTATTAAGGCGAAAAATGCTTGTTTCCCCTAAACTGCACAATAAGAAACAACAACTCCAAGAGGTCTCCTACCTGTCTGTACCAAATACTGGTGGTGATGCTTTGAGTCTTTCCATCCTGGGAAAAGAGAAATGTTCTCATTGTCAGTTTTTAATGACAATATATTTATATGTTAAGGCTTCTGTAGTCAAGCTGAATTCAAAAAACAAAATGAAAACAAACAATTAGTTAAAATACCACCTTGTTGTGGCTTTTTATTTGGCTGAGAAATACAGAATGAGATTAACAGGACATACGTAAGAAAAACATTAAAACTTACATGTTTAAAGTGGCTTTTGGTCGGGATACACCGACTACAACCTGGTCGATTATCGCAACCGATATTTGGCCTTTCCGATTATCGATATTTTTTTTTAAATTATTGATAAATGGACTGTACTACTTTCTCTCTCTGTCTGTCGTCACTCTGTGGTCTCAGAAATTAGAAAAAACTGAACAAGAAACACAAACCAGGAAGTTAGCTTCTCTCACAGCGGCTAACGCTAACAGCTAGCGGCTAAGTTAGCAGGCAGCCACAGATTAACCTGAAACAGGTTCTGGGAAACAATAATTAATAAAACTTTTAAAAATGGAACGTAATGGGCAATTAAACGGTGAAAGATTGAGAAAATAGAGAACTGCAGGAGACAAACTGATCAATGTCAGTCACGTAAACAGAGGAGATAATTTAATTGCTCCTATTTCTAATTTACATACTCAGTAATAGTCACCGTTATGAATGAAGAAGTCTAGTTATGAATGAAAGGTCCTCGGCTATCACATGCTGTTTAAACATAATATGTAATGTATATCACATATCGGTGATCATTCTTTCTTGATTACCAATAATCACCAAACACATGTTGTACAACCCTTGTTTTTTTTTTAGTTATTTATGATTAGTTTTATCTTGTTTTGCAAACTGATGCACGTACACAGCCTAACAAATCTATCAGACCCCCTCCCAAAGTCAGGTTTATGCAACAGCTGTCCTAAATTAGCACCGTTGGTAATTAGAAAAATCACTTCTCATGTTTCTGTAACGGTTAATACACCAGTATGTAGAAGCTCTCTAACCCAAATGATATTTTTAATGCTAAAATATAATTATTATTGTTATCCAGGAATTTTAAAATGTACTGTTTTACAAAATAAATGAAAATAATAGTGAAGCACATTGTTGTTTCTTGAGCAAGATGTCAAATTATAGTTATTTACTGGCATTCCTGAACAGAAAGAAAGTGTTTTAGTGGTTGAATGTTATGCTTGATTAAATTCACCATTTGCTGCGTAAATAACTTTGATTTGATTTTAATAATATAAAATGTGTGTTTCATAATTAATGACAAATTAAAGGACAGAAAACTGATTTGCTGCAGCAGCAGTGGTGTGAACAGGGAAGCGAGACGCACCACATCCAGGACAGACTGCAGGATCAGGTCGATGTAGACGGTGGTGGTACTGGTCCAGTTGTGAACCGGTCGGACTCCGCAGTCGTATTTCCTCAGGAGGGTTCTGGTCAGCTGGTTCAGAGCCGATCGCTTCGGCTTCTCTGGCACACATTCAGCCAGATGGGCTAAAAAAATAAAAATAAAAAATGAAAGCTGGATTACCAAGTGGGAAAACTGGGGCCCTGGAGGGCCCTGAAGGCTCGCTGCTAAACAATTAGTTTCATTAATCTAGATTAATTGTAAATCAGTTTGGCGAGATTTTATGCTCCATTAACACACAATAGAACGTTTAGGGCCTAAAGGAGGCTCTTTTAGCTAATACTGATGCTCAGATATGTAGATGGGGCCTATGCATTTTTTATTTTTTATTATTTCCTTTTGTTCCAGTTTATCTTGTGGTGCAGGCATGGTTAATTGTTTAATTTAATTACTAAAACCTAATCTACTCATTGTGTTAGAGCGCTGGATTACTGGTTGAACATCGCTGGATTGTGCAGTTTATCCGTTAAATATAACACATTACAAAGAAAGCTGCTAAAGGTTTGTGAAATATATGAAATTTTTATCAGTCTGTCTGCAAAATGACACATTGACGGTGAGTCTAGTGTGCGTTATTGACACACCTTGCAGAAATTAAGTGTACATCCTTTGTCTAAGGCAAAAAACACATTGCACGTGCATTCTTTTCAACCGGATTTACCAGAATAATATGGATTTATTTGCTTATATTGGTGGATGTGATGCTTTACGATAACTAGCGAGCAGGTTTTCTGCACCGGTGCATTTATTATTGTGTCTAAAACGACATCATCGCACTACAAGTCTGCAAGAAAGAGACTATTTGAGCTGATAACTAATAGAAAAACATCACATTTCTGGAACAAAACTCCCTGCAGGTACACAAACACTTGATGTTAATGCTACTCAGGTAAATGCAATCATGTGATCATTTCTTTAAGCCAAAAAAAAAAAGAGCTTCTTACCTGAGAACGACAGGATCAACCAAATGAGAGACATCAAGCTGCAAAAAGAAAATATTCCCAAGTGTCACATCCAAATATTAGCTCTGTTAACACAAAGATATCCACAGTTTCATGACATAAGCAGCTGTACCGACTGTAGGAGAAGGCAGCGAACAGGCAGGTGGAGACATTTTGGTTGCACTGATATCGATTTTTCCGCCGCCCGCGTAAGGTGATACTGTTATGATGGTGAAAGCTCCCTGAAGGTTTGTGCTTGCCGCTGCAGAGGAGCATGTGGGTGTCTGTTGTCCGTCTGGAAACACACGAGTCACGAGGAGCAGAATAGAACAAGAGCTTCTCGAAATGGAAAATAAAGCTCTCACTGAGTTGTCACCAAACGGGGTTCCAGGACTTGTGCAATCACGGTGTAAAGCTGTTCTGGCTTTTGACACTTTAGTAGGATGCCTGATGTTGGTTCTGTTGGTTTATGCGCGCAAGAAGTTTGCTCGAGATAACACACGTCAAAAGTGATTAATGCAAAGTCTGAATTTAAAGATAAATACATGAAAACTGTATAATGGATCCAAGCTGATTTAACTGGGTTGAGCTGACTAATTTTACAGAAACAGAATGCTTCAAAAGAGGAAAATAAAGCTCTCACAAGCTGGTGAAGCTTCAAAAATACAGACGAGTGACACGTAACAGGGAAAATGTGGAACCCTTGACCCCTGCAGTGAAGGGATCCGGTTGCCCTGTTACGACGGGATGGTTCGAGTGTTTAACAGAGTCACTGCAAATCCGTCATAAGATGTTTCTATTCTGACGGCAGGGAGCTGAACGGTTTGGTGGAAATGAATGATCTGCTGTGGCCTCGTCAGTCGCCAGATCTCAAACCAAATGAGCTCCGGTGGGAGAGTTTCAACTGATGTTTCTTGTAGAATCAGTACCAAGGTGCACTGAAGCTGTTCTGACTTCTCGTGGTGACCCAACACCTTAACAAGACACCTGATGTTGGTTTTTTTCCCTTCATTTGTCTGAACTACTTTAAGAAACTAAAGTCTTCTGTTGGGAATGAACCGATTAATACAGCATTTATGAAAGAAGTACACTCATTAAAAAAAAAAGACCTGAGTTGTGGAAGCAGTTAGAAAAAAAAAAATCCTCTTTGAGTGATTCAGTTGGTCCAAGTTTATTAATGCTGAAAGAAAGCTATGTGATTGCATGCAAATACTTATAATAATTATTATTTTTTATGTTCATGCAAAGAGTTGTGGTTTCTTTTAGTGTGGAATGTGCTTTACTGTTGTCTGCTGTAGTGATGCTTTATTTAATATTTATTCTGTAACTGTAACGTCCCTCAAAAAGGAGGTTTGTTCTCCTTTTGGTTCATTTTTTTTCCAACAGTTGGATCAAACCTAATTTTATCAGGTTGCACCAACTAATTTTAAAATAATAAAAAAATCAAACAAATAATAAAAGTAAATCCAAATAACAACCTTTGACCGTAAACACGTTTAATTAAATAACTCCCCACATGAATGTATTGAGCTATTGAAAGTATTTTCATATCATTAAACTGCTTTCTTTCCTCCTTGTGCAGCTCTGTGGGTCCAACTTAATGTACTTGTGTTGAATTAACCTCATCTATTGGGGCTGATTCAACTTACTTCTGAGGGTTCGATCCAACTTAGTTTAATCAGATCAGGCCGCTAATTTTACAGTGTTAATGGGGCTAACGAATTAAGTCGATTCAGTTCAAGTAAATGAAGCCGAGAGAGATCAGTCCAGTCACATGTAAGCACGTTCTCTGATTTAAAGAAGTGAATCCAAATAATAACTTTATTATGTTAGTATGTTATGTCATTAAATAGCCTGAAGAAGTTTTGTTGGTTCAACTCAATATGTTTGTGTTGATTCAACATCATTTATTAGAGTTGATTCGACTTGGTTCCTAGTTTTATATTATTGTTATTATTATTGTTATAATAATAATAATAATAATAATAATAATAATAATAATAATAATAATAATAATAATAATAATAATAAAAGTATTTTAGTAAACACACCAAAATCCCCCGTTTAAAGAAGAAAAAAAGTGAATATTTAAATCAATTTTTTTTTAAAAGCGCGTTACAGTCTAGAACCGTCCCGTCACTCACGTGCGTCGCGGGGAACGGGTGCGCGCGCCCCCGCTTTCATGTCACCGATCTGACCGCCCTGTGCGCGCGCGCGCGCCGTCTCGACAGGTGAGCGCGCGCAGCTGTGCCGACGGCTCCGTGACGGCGGATGGAGGAGGTCTGAGTCCGGTGTTCGGTGCTACACAGGGGGGGAGAGAAGTCCCGGTTTTCCGTCTGCAATGAGAACCGAACAGTCTGAGAATGGAGAAAACTCTACGAACTCGGTGAGAAAAGAGAAAAAAGGAGGATAAGCGGAGCCACTAATTAACACTTTGATGATGATAATAATAATAATAATCAGTGACATGTCTGAGTGAAAGGCGAACACTAACCCCTCTGTTGTGCTGTGGCCGAATGCGCATTAAGAAATCCGGCGTTTTAAAGTTGACACTAACATTTCTCTGTGTCATCACTGCTTAAATACACATATTAAAACTTTTTCACCATCTCTAGAAAGCACTCTGAAATTCGGCTTTCATAAACTTCAACAAACCTTTTATTCAATTAAATTTTGAATCATACTTCTAACATAAATCAATAGCTGGTGTGGTGAATTATATCTGAAAACTTCTATCTTCTTAACTCTCTGCTTTCTAAATAGCTTATTTTTCACATTTGATTTGAAAATGAAGCAAAGTGTCCAGTAAATATAGTAAGCAAATACTAACAAACATATTTTAAGTGTCATATTCAGAGTAATGCTGGACACAGGACTGTATTTAATAAATATTTTATTCCTAATTGTCACAGTTTGCCCACACCAGAATCAGAATCTACCATTCAAACTACTGCTTCATACACAGCAGCCTTTCTAATGATTCCAACACACAGTGCAAGGAGCCTCCTAATGTTTTGCACCCAGCTTTACATACAGCAGAAACTCTGATGCTGTCAACAAAATCAGAATGTTTGTTTCTGTTTGGCATCGACGTGGGAGGTGTGTGTGCATGAAAAGGGAAGGAGGAAAGAAACCCACCATGCCTGGTGGCACGGTGACTGGAATGATAAACAGAAGCCTGTGCTATCCATGTCAGTGGTCGAAAATAGAGGCTAACCCAGAGGGTCTCCGATAGCCCCCCTGGACTCCATATAAGTCTGCCTGGCCTCCCGTGTGTGTGACGGAGAGATACCATGACAAGTCCACCTGCTGTCGGGAAGGCAGGCTTTATTTAGCGCCTCGCTCAGCACACTCATGTTATTTCTTTTTTAGAGCTTCGTGTGTCCGTGAGGTCAGAACATATGAGCGTTTGTGTTTACAGGCTGTTTGGTGGGATGGCGCTCTGCCCCACTTCATTCTGGTTTTTATTGGTGTACAAATTCAGGTCAAAGGAAACAGTAGGTTAAAAATAATCAGTACCACCGTCCATCTGCCACCACCGGTAGAGCTCAGCCAGTCATGATCATACTGTTACATCTTGGTTCAGAAGTTGAGCCACAGTGATGTCCTTTAAGGGGGAAAAGGATTAACGCTGCAGATTTAATTCAGGTGTTGAGACTTGTTTAATCATTCCATATGAGAAGCAGTCTATAAAGAGGACAATCTGCCATTTAATAGGGCTCATGTGTCAGACCAGTAACTTGTCTACTGGTTCTCTAGCATTTGGTGAACAGATTACAGAGCGGCATCAATCTTGTCATCTAACCCAGTAAGAAAGACAATCAGGGTATTTCCCAACTGAAGAGACTAAATCTGACCTCCAGTGAGCGTGACAGGTCGGCATTCGTCCTTCAGCTGCCTATATTATATTTATATTTATATCTATGTATCTATACTCTGGTGGAGGTCAAACACTACGATGGAGGCCTGAATGAGGCAAAGTGGGCTGCATATGAGATAACTTCTGGTTACCAC